CAGTTCAATTTGAATTTTTTCATGATGGGTGTAAGTGGGGCCTCACATTTGAGTTTCGCCTAAGGCCTCACAAAGTCTAGAGCCGCCTCTGTTTACACACTTTGACTAGGCCAATTTGTCAACAGGATCCACACCAGCCATAGTTTAATAAAAAAAGAAAAAAATCAACATTAAATTTACACCCCCAGCTTCAGCTAGAATATCTCATCTAGCTGCCAGGGGAATAACTGCTCCAGTATAGAGGGTAGCAGGGGCTCACACAAAGATAGACATATCCTGGTGGTAGGAGATTCTATAATTAGGAGGACACACAGCGTAATCTGCCATAACTAGGGTTGCCACCTGTCCAGGATTGACCCGGACAGTCCGGGTTTTGAATGCTGTGTCCGGGTTTCATGGCAGCAGAAACCCGGACACACGATGTCAAGCAACAGGGGCAACCAAAATTAAGATAGGGGCTGCTCGCCCCCCACTGAAAATAGTCTCGACTGTGATATTTACATATGAATGGGTGGCACTATTTACATATGAATAAGCTGCGACTCATTCTCCCACAAAAATGTCTGCGCGTCGCTAGAGTGTTCGGGTTTCGCTTGAAGAAAAGGTGGCAACCCTAGCCATAACATCACCTTAACATAACATAGTTCTTTACGGGGTTCTCAGGTTTGGCACATTGCGGTTTGGATGGACAGATTATTGGGTGGGCTGGGCAACTTTCTAAAAAAAAATTTTGCATTTTTTTTTTTTTGTTACTTTATTTTTTTTATATTTAAAAACAAAAAAAATCTTACACTAACTTTATTGCTATCACATAGGGCCTAATAAGCCCCCTATGTAATAGCAGATAGGGTGTGACAGGTCATGTTTATGGAGATATGAGGGGTTTTTCAGACCTCAGCTTCTTCTGGCTCTAGGAGACGGATAAGAAAAACAGTGACACTGGAAGTGATATAATACACATCACTTCTGGGTCCAGTGATTGGAGGAGAGATCAGGGGCTGGAAGCCTAACAGAAATCTCCACGTTTGTTGTGGGGATACCTGCCATGGCAGTCCAGGGCCCGCACGTGCGACAGCGGAACCCAGGGAAGCCAGCGGCGTGGAGGAAGCAGCGCATTTGGCAGATCGTTAAAACGATCCAGTGGCTGTATAGACGACGGATCACTCGTACATTAACAGCCATTGCCGACTGTTTAAAATGACACCAAGAACACAGCTGCAGCAGGGATCTGTGTACAAGTGATCTGGGTGGCTGAAGAGCCACGCAATCACTGGTACTGGCCTGCATGTGTATAATTAAGATCTGTGGGTTTAACCACTTCCCGGCCGGCCGTTGTAAAAAAACGGCCGGCCAGGAGCTCTCTAGATCTGAGCGGGCGTCTTTAGACGTCCGCTCAGCCAAGCACCCAGCGGCGCGCGCGAGCGGGAAATGCCCAATATTTAAAAACAGGCAGCGATGCCTGTTAACATACAAGCGATGTATGAGGTCCCGGTATGTAAGCCCCCCTCCGCGGCTCCTCCCCTCCCGCTGTCACGCTGGTCCCGGGCTCCGCTGTGCCCGGTGCGAGCCTGGGCCCACCATAGTGCCTCTGTCACAGGGGATATGGGAGAGATCGGTACACGACCTCCCTCCGGTCCCCTCTGCGCTGTCAGAATGCGGAACTGATGTATATTACATCAGTTCCGCATTCTTGTGTCACTCTCCAGCTTCAGATGCTGGTCGGAAGAAGCTGATCAAGCAGATCTCTGCTTGATCAGCTTCTTCAGGGGGGTCCTAGGTGACATTAGGGGTCTTGGAGACCCCTGATGGCTCCATAAAGAGGACCTGTCACATCTTTTGCTATCACATAGGGGGTTTTTCTTAGCCCCCTATGTGATAGCAGTAAAGTTTCCCCCAAAAAAATTTAAAGTTACACATTAAAAAAAATGTTTTTTTAAATTCTTTTTTAAGTCCCCCATACATACACGCAAGCAAACAGCCGTCGGGTGCGCATAAGTGCGAAAACGACGATTGCGCCCATTACGCCGCACATGTTGCATATCGTCGCGAACGTCGGAATAAGAGAAATAATTATAGGGCATAGGTGTCAAACTCAAGGCTAGGGTTGCCACCTGTCCAGGATTCACCCGGACAGTTCGGGTTTTGAATGCTGTGTTCGGGTTTCATGGCAGCAAAAACCCTGACACAAGTTGTCAGGCAGACAGAGGCAACCAAAATTAAGATAGGGGATACCGGCCCCCCCACTGAAAATAGTCTCAACTGTGATATTTACATAATAATGGGTGGCACTATTTACATATGAATAAGCCGCAACTCATTCGCCCCAAAAAATTTTGTGCGTCGCTAGAGTGTTCGGGTTTTGCTTGAAGAAAAGGTGGCAACCCTACTCAAGGCCCGTGGGCCAAGACCGGCCCACGATGGAATTATCTTTGGCCCGCATGATAATATTTCATTATCATTAGATCTGGCCCGCCGGTACACTTCCAGCTTTAAAGATGGCCGCCGCGCAGCCGCCGATCTTTATGACACAGAAATGATGCGGCGCGGGCCTGCCGCATCATTCCTGTGTCATAAAGAAGGCCCATGGTAAAACTATTTTAGTTTTTATTTTGGGTGGACACAGGGAGGCAGTTACAGTATTTGCTGTAAAATATTTGTACCTTGTTGTGCTTCAGAACTATGCACAATCTGTCAACTTTGTTATAAACAATACACCATTGCTTCACTGTACTCATTGTTCTTAAATAAACCTGCCAGATTTGTATACAGAATTGCTGGTTAATGCATTAAGGGCTTATGTAAATAGATGAATTTATGATTTTGTCATGTCATGAAGAACACATAAAATGCAGGTCACCAGATGACTATTTACTTTAATGGTGCAGTGTGGATGACAGTCCTGAGGGTGTACATGCCTTGTTTTGTGTTGGTTTCTTTGGACCCAGCAGGTTCTATTGGGATGTGTTTGCATTGCAAGGTAAGCAGATCAAACCCAGCCCTTCATGGAGTTTTGCATTGGAATACAATACATGCATTTGAGCAGTGCTGCATTTAAATGCAAAAGGAAGTGATTGACAACAATACGCTTGACCCCTATAAGTGGTTAGCAAGCAAAAATGTACAGCGGTCACATGTCCAGTGATTTTATAATCATTTTTAAAGGCTCTGTAATTGCGAGAGGCACACTACATCCTACAGGCTTGCCTACATGACCGCTGTATACGCAATAAAGAGCCAGTAAACTTACCTTTGTACAGAAGTGGAGATTGATTGTAATGTATACATTTTTATGCAGCCAACTGCTCTGTTATCAGCCGGGCATGCCTGCAGTAACTGTTATTGTTTTGGATCAACAGCCATTAACCACTTCAGTCCCACAGGTTTACCCCGCCCCCTTCCTGACCAGTCCATTTTTTGCTATACAGCACTGTGGTACTTCAACTGACAAGTACTCGCTCATACAACACTGTACCCAAATTAAATTTTTATCATTGTTTTACCCAAATAGAGCTTTCTCTTGGTGGTATTTGGTCGCCGCTGGGTTTATTTATTTAATATAAAATGAAAAAAGACCAATAGTTTAGAAAAAATAGACATTTTCTACTTTCTGTTATAAAAAATATCAAATAAAATAAAATTTCTTTATAAAGGTATGCCAAAATGTATTCTTTTATTTTAAATAGACTTTGACTTGGTGCCTGCTGCATATTTTTACTATGTATGTTTTGAAAATACTCAGGTACCAATTATAAGTCTTTTTAAAACATGGTTTTTATCCATATGGTGCCAAACAACAAAATCAGTACTGCTCAAGGTAAAGGATTGGTTTACGAAGGATATGGCTGGTATATTTTTTTCAAACCTTGGTGTGTCTGCTAGATAAAGTCTTTCAGGAAGCTGAGAAATAATTTGAGGAAGCTGACCCACCCCCTTCAACCCCACCCCTAGGGGAAACAGTTATCTACATCCCTGTGTGTTAGTATACCTAAAAATGATTGTTTAAAAAAGTATTTCTTATCCTTTAGATGTCTCTGTGTAGCAGGCCTTGGCCAGACTGCACGCTTCTCTCTCCAATTTTAAAGTGACAGGAAACTCTGGCTGTCCCCATAGACATTCTGAGTTTTCTCTCATTAAAATACAATGCTAATGCTTCTAGATTGTAAACCCTTTGTTAGGATAGACAATGTTTAAAGCGATATTACAGGCGATTTTTTTTTCTTAACATGGTACATTTTCTCAGTTTAAAAATGTGATATTTTCTATTTTCTATTATTTAAATATAATATTTATAGTGTTATCCCTATACCACATGTCCATATTACTAGAGCTTATGTGTTGCAATTTAGATGGCCATGCTAAATTACATTTGTACATGAACAGACATCCTCCAGGTTTGTGATGTTTATGTGATACCATAGTGCAAAGATACATACTTTGATAAAGCCATGATCCTCCCCAGTGTGTACGCAATGAGGGGAATTTATCAAAACTGGAGCTTGGAGCTGGCTTCCTGGGTCCTTTATTGGTTAGGAAGCTGGCCAATCAAGAAGCTGGGCAACAAGTCATTACCCGCCCCCCGGCTTCCTGATTGGCCATAAAGCTGGCTCTATGCTTCCTCATCACCTTGTGATGAAGTAGCATGGAGCCAGCTTCCCGGCCAATCAGGAAGCTGGGCGCCAAGTAATGACTCACCGCCTGGCTCCCTGATTGGTCGGGAAGTTGGCCAATCCGGAGGCCAGGCGGCAAATCATTACCCACCTCCCGGCTTCCTGATTGGTCAGAAAGCCGGCTCCATGCTTCCCACCTAATCAGGAAGCCGGGTGGCGAGTCATTTCACGCCACCTGGCTTCCTTAATGGGACTTCCAGTATCGGTATCGGCGAGTACCGAAAAAAAATATTGGTACAAATAGTATTGCTGTTCAGTAATTTGAATGAATGAAGCTTTATAGATCTTCACTGACATGCATTAAGTATAATTCTTGGTTTTCATATGCTCTAGATTTCCAGCCAAGCACTTTGGAAAACTCTACGGACTAGCGATGTCGCTTTCTGCGGTCATATCTCTTTTACAATATCCAGCATTTTACATCATACGAACCCATCTCCATGGTGACCCTTTATATGTATGTAATCAGATGTATGGGTAATAGGGTTCCTGATCAAAAATGGGTAGTTGACCAGTTTATCCAGAGAAGAAGCTGAGCTCCCCCTGTGTGCGTGGCCGAGCGGCGGAGGATCGGTACATATCAGTGATATGTTCCGATCCTCTGTGCAGGACAAACACTGGAGCGATCAGCTGATCACTCCAGTGTTTGTAAATAACTGGAAACACATAGTACTATGCGTCTCCAGTTATGAATGAACAGGATGTGATTCACATTACTTCCTGTTCATTCATGAGATTCTCAATGGGGAGTAGCGCTCTGTACAGAGGCTCCTCCCCATTCAGAAACTGGTGATAGTAAATATTTTCTGAATGAATGGGAAGCCTCTGTGCTTTCGATTCATTTAGAACAGAGGCTGCAGAAAAAGAGATTGAGGACTTTGTGTCCTCAATTTCTTTTTCTATTTTAAAAGGGAAATATCAGGGGGCTGTTTAGACCCCTAATATTTCCCCGAACCCCCCAACAGTAAAAAAGAAATAAAATTAAAATGAAGTAAAAAAATAATAAGAAAATAAAAAATAAATAAATCTTGGAGGCAGGGCGCTGGGTGATGTCACACACCTGTTGGGGGGACACGTTTTTTTTCCCTACCTCAGGCGCAAAAGGAGCTGGCTATGTCTATGCTCCATCGGTGCTCGTGTGGCTGCCAACTGAATGTGTTAATGTGTTAGACGCCACAGACGGAAAGGGGCAGAACACCTCTCTCCATGTGCAATGTCGGCCACATTCGGCCACACAAGCACCGCGGGAGGACACCTAGAACGCCCTGGAATGCAATCCGGCTGACTCCCTGCATTCAGGGGCGGGAGGGGGTATGGGGTTGTATTATAGTCAATGGCACTGCAGCCATTCCCCCCCGCCCACAGTGCGATCCCCAGCACCCGGAACCGGAACATTAGTGCCTGCATTCTGGTCCAGTGTGATCTTCAAAAATAGTGCTTGCAGCATTTCTGCAGATCGCACTGGACTGGAACGTAGGCACTAATGTGCCTGCGTTCCAGGTGCAGACGATCGCACTGCGGGTGAGGGGCGTGGCTGCGGTGCCATTGACTTCAATGCACAGCCATGCCCCCTCCCGCCCCTGAATGCAGGTGTTTTTTCGTTGGTAGATCTCATTGGGCCCGTCATTTGAAAAGTAGATCGCCAGATGAAAAATTGTGGGCACCCCTGGGCTAGTGGGATTGGATAAAGCTCTGAGAATGACAAACTGCTGTGCAAATTACAAAAGAAAAAGGGCAGGCAAGTAAAAGGTACCCTGAAGACTACATGGGCAAAGTACAGGTTTGCTTTGAAGATACACTCAAGCAAAAACTGAAAATTAAGCCTTGTGATGCAATTAACTACTTTATTCCCTTTTGTTGGTAACCTGTTGATTAAGGAACCCTTTTTACTTGCCTATTTTTACAGGAGAGGTATTTTCATACACCCATCTGTCTCGCACAGAAATCCTAGTGTGTAAAATTATCAATTCTAATAGCTTTCTCAACACTACCAATAAGATTCAAACATGTATTGGGAGTTTAAATCTCATTGGTGACACAGCAAGCACTATTATTTGTTGCTGCAAAAATTGCAGAAAACTGACTTACCCTATTACTCCCTTTCTCAAAGCTCTAAAATATGATTTTAGCATAGCTGCAATGTATGCTGGATGACAGAAGTTCATTTATTGGTTTCAGTTGTTGCTTGAACTTGCTCTTTAATCACTATTATTTTTTTCAACAGGTCAACATTTTTCTTGCCGTTCTGATGTTGGTGACATTTGCCCACCCAATTAACATTTTTCGTGTTTGCAGAAAAGACAAGAAAGTAAGGAAGACAGAAGATTCACATGTTTCTTAAAAAAAATATTTAACAATAAGGACAGGATGTTGTATAATTTCAAACATTTAAAACTATATGTAATGCTTTTTATCTGTTTATACACATCCACAGGCTTAAATCCTATACAGTATAAACCCAAGAACAGCAATGTAATATATTGAAACTTACCAGTTCTCAGATGCGTTAACTGCTCTAGTTTTCTTATTTCAGACTTTCCTTTATTTGCACTTGGTCATCCTGCCAGTAATACCCTTTTTTCCTAGGGTGACAACACTCACTCCCTTCACTATCTATTGAGGGGCATCTTTGTCACCTTAGACAGGAAGTATGTTTGGACTACAGAATGCCTCCTCTTCTCCCTCATGTCTATAACATAGGGAGAAGTGTTCTGTAGTTCACAGCAGTAAACTGAGCAGTGCTTGAGATTGCACTGAAGAGAGCACAGGAAGTACTAGCTCACTGTATTTTTGACAGTACCAGTATTCTTTGCAGTTTTCAAAGATATATAACAAAACACTTGAGCCCCGTTCACATTGAGCTATTTATCGCGCGGTAATTCCCGCGATATCGTGGCAAATTACCGCGCGATATCGCGCTCCAATGCATTTCAATGGGGCAAAGGGTCCTGCTGTCGCGGGTCGTGTGTCGCTACAGCAGGATCCTTTTTGGAGCGGATTTAGCCGCGATTCAAGCTTGCTCAATGCAAGCTTGAACGCGATATCGCGCTGCAAATCTGGCGATGTCGCGCAATATGCAAATCGTGCGACAAACGCGCGATTTGCATATCGCGCAGTGGGAACGGGGCCTAAAAGTGTTATATTAGACGTCCCAATAGGCAGCAAATAAGAGGAGTTTATTGCTTGCCTAAACTTTAACCTCTTGAATACCAGCCTGTATTATCCCTTCATTACCAGGCCATTTTCCAGTGCTGTGATCGTATGACTGACAAGTACTCCATCCTTCATCACAAATCAAAAGGGACATTTTTTGGGACAGATAGAGCTTTCTTTTGGTGGTACTTAAAGAACAACTCTGGATATAATATTTTCTTAACCCTTGCAGTGGGGCCACCCCTGCACTGCAAGGGTTAGGCGCTTGTTTTTGCCTAGGTTCAGCAATAACAAAGTTATATTCACCCGAAGCTCCAAGCTGGTCAGTTGTCACAGTACTCCCTTCCGCCTGTCTCCTCCTCCGATGGTATGTCCCTCGGCAACCTCACTTCCTGCACACCACATCCTGCACACCACATTCTGCACACCACTTCCTGCACACCATGTATACAACGTAATGACTCGAAGACCCTTAGACCACTGCAGAGGAGGGAGAGGCGGAAGGGATCAGTGTAAGAGCAAGCCAGCTCTGAGTATAACTGTTATTTTTGAACCTAGACAAAAACATGCACTTAACACTTGCAGTGCGGAGTAGCCCCATTTCAAGGGTTAAGACATATTTTTACCCAGAGTTCTGCTTTAATAACAGTTTTTTTTTATGTTTTACAATAAAAAGAAAACAAGGAACGTTTTGAAAAAAAAAATGTTTCCCTTACTCTCTTATTAATCTGATTAAATAAAAATGTCTGGACAGTGCAAACACACCCCAAAATTACCCCTTTTTGTAAAGTAGATCTCAGTAGATCAGCCTAAGGTGATCTCATTTCATACTGCAATCTTTTGGAAATGAAGAAATATGCTGGTATTTAGGGAGTTAAAACAATGGAGCTTGGTATGGATGCCCTAGATACATTATTGTACGTCATACACAGAAGGATCAGGAGCTAAAGCGTTAATATACAAGTCATATAGAGAGACAGGCTGGCTATTGTATGTGTAGAAGAGGATGGGTTAAACTAAATCTTACAGTAAGTGGAAATTGATCAACAGCTGCACACCCATTAATTTCCCATTCATACATTACTACATATCCCTCTCCTTCCTCTGTTGAGGGAGGAAAAGGAAGGATCAACCATGTAAACAGGACTATATGACATTAAACCCTCAGATTTTTTAACATAAAACAATACTTCAATGTGTGCCTTACTGTAATCCATGGTTGTTTCCCTTCTCTTTGCTGCTCCTCCTTTTAAATCTGTATCTGTTCTCATGCTCTGCAGAACTTCTGTTTTGCAGCAGACTGCCTTGTCTCAGGAATGGATACACGGTGTCTGTGTATACGTTTGTATAGGCTTGTAACCTGAGCCAGCACTACAGGAAGAGGCCCTGAGCTGAAAAGGGAAGTTCTCACCCAAGCATGAGAAGACATGAGGATTTAAAAGGAAGAGCAGCAAAGAGAAGGGAAACAACCATGGATTACAGTAAAGCACACATTACAGTATTGGTTTATGTTAAAAAATCTGAGGGTTTAATGTCACTTTAAGCCATGTATTATGAGCAGTAGTATAGTTGGTTTATCTACTGCCATCTTGTTGTCATTTTGGTTATTGCACCATCTTTTTCTGTATTCCCTCCACTTGTGTGTGATGTACTTCCTTTCTTTTTCACATTGTCTAATGTTTAAATGGCTGCTTGTCTCATGGCCACATGTTGATATGCCTACATGGGAGAAAACATTACCATCTACTGACCGGCAAATACCATCTGTCTAATCATCTGCTACAGCATGTTTGCTGTAACGTGCTGCATTCAAGAAAGATCTTCATGGACTAAAAGGTATTTGGTGAGTTCAGCTATCTGATAAAGACTGTCCGTAGCACCTCCCTATCCCCCACAGTCTTGTCCACCTGGTTCTGATCTGTCTCACACACTACACTTGTCAGTTGTCTGATTCATTAGATCTGATGCAAATGTATGATGAAGTCATCATTTCTGGTATATCAAAATATGGTTTATCTTGCTAATTTACATAATTTGTCATCTGACATACTCTACAACTGACACAGGTCTGTTTTATTTTGCTGTTACATCTCGTTCTTTTAGTAGTATATGCTGATATAAGATATATGCGGACTCCTTCTGTTCGGAGTCATGTCTTTTGTCCTTATTCTACAAACCTTGAATAAAAATCTACTTGCTATAAAAAAAAAAGACTGTCCGTGGTGATTGCATCTGCTTCTACAGGCCAGGCATAGAGGTCGAAGCAAGGTATAAATCGCAAATACAATGGTTGGAATCAATAGATGATAGCCTGCTGTGTATATATGTGTACCTAATCTGCAATCAAGCTCAGTGCCATCCGCCATCTTGTGAGAGCATATAGTCGCACAAGCTTACTGCACTTCACCTGTGAATGTTGAAAACTGTTTCTCTGCATTGACCTTTGTTACCCTGACTGTAAGCTGCTGTTCGTCTTCCTAAAGAGACAGTAACCATTTTTTGCAATAATTTGAAACATTTCTAGACCAGCCCCTGAGCACTCTGTTATCGCTGAACCAAAGCAGATCGATCATGCTTCTGACCACTTAGATGTACAGGGAGTAGATTCTGCAGATATCGCAGAACAGAGTGTGAGACCCAAACTCATGATAAAATCTACACAGAAACGCAGAAAACTAGGAAACTAGTGATGAGTTCTCCAGCAATCTGTCAGGCCTATGGCACAGAACTTCACACTGCATGACAGTTTTGCCACGCTTTAATGATCAACCATTACCATGAATTAAGAGATTCTATAGATCGCTTATCTGCTGCCTATGAACGTTACCAGCGGCTGTCTACCTATAGAACAGGTCCAGCAGGAATAACCTGCGTGTGATCGGCCTACCCGAATCGGTTAAGCCAGGTGATCTCCCTTTTTGCGCTGATGAGATACCACGATCATTAGGCCTCTCAAGACCATGTGCAGTGGAACGAGCTCACAGGCTGGGGGCGCCCAGAGATGACAACAGACCAAGACTGGTCTGACAAACATGCTGACAAACATATGCTGTTCCAACTGTACCGTTCCCAAAGGAACCTGGTTGCCGGGGGACATAGAATTCTCCTATTTGCAGACTACTCTGCTGAACTAACTAAACGCAGAAAAAAATGTCAGGCGGTGTGTCAAGCCTTGGTACACCAAAGTATTACATTTGCACTAGCTTACCCCGCCACACTACGCATCACCAGCCCTGATGGCAATGTCTCCTCCTTCACGTCTTCAGAGAAAGCACGAGCCTCCATCCAGAACATGGCGGACCCCTGTTCCAGCTCACCTATCAAGAGCCCCCTGAGGAAGAAGAGGCTCGACACTAATTCCTGAATCTATATGGTGATCTGATTGTTACACAACTATGGTTGTCATTCTCTTTCTCGTCAGACGGGACGGACAGAGAATCTGTGCTAATGCTGCTCAACACACGGTTGGCAGGTTTTCCAGTGATGGTGGCCTCAGCTTTGTCCTCTATGCCAAGGGTGAAGCAGGCCTCCTTTGAGCCCACCACTCACTCTCAGGAAAAAAGGGAGTCCATTGCTGGACATCTGTCAGGGTACCCTGCACAGGCGTCCTCACACCACATGCAGGTACCCACGCAGGATGACCAAATTAATATGCCCACACAGGATAGGGTTATATGCACAGTTTATTTGTTACCATCAAACAAAACTACTAACCCCCTCAACCCCCCACAGGTTTAGCAGTGAAGTAACAAGGAGGGTTAACAGGAGGGCAGCACAGTACAGGATTTAGGAAGAATGGTCAGGTACAAGCCAGGTCGTTAACAGGAGGGCAGCACGGTACAGAAACAGGATCCAAGAAGAGTGGTCGGGTAACAAGCCGGGTCGGTGACAGGTCTGCAGCTAGGAAGCTGGGTTCAGGTAGCTGGGTTCAGGAATCAGTCAAGTGCAGGCGACGCAAATACTGAGCCAGCTTCCTGACTGCAGTTAGGGCCTAAATACCCTCCCAGGAAGCACCAGGTGATGGGATGATCCGTCACAGCTGGGGCACACCCGCAGGTGAGTACTGGAGCTGCAGGTTCCTTACAGTCCCTGGCTGCTGGACACCCGCAGGTGAGTACTGGAGCTGCAGGTTCCTTACAGTCCCTGGCTGCTGGACACCCGCAGGCGAGCACAGGAACTGCAGGACCTGGCTCCAGCACCAACTGGGGGTGCTCTGGATCCTGACAACATCTTCTTTATGGCATGTTGATGCTACTTACTAGTTCTTTTTTATTTTTCAATTTTGTTACTTTTTCTGTTAAGGAATCAGAGCAATTCTCCATCACTGCAGGGGATATAACATGGGGTACCCCAGCCAACAATGTTTTCCAGCTACCCACAGTGATTACGGGACTTGTTTCTACAGGAGAAGCTAGGGGCACTGGGACATCCAATGGGACCCACCCTGAAGATAATATCGTGGAATGTAAAAGGTCTAAGATCTCCACACAAAAGGTCTAAAATTCTCCGACACCTAAAGAAACTGCACGCTGATGTTCTGCAGGAAACCCACCTCTCAAGCGAAGACTTCTCTCGCCTTAAGAAACTGTGGGTGGGATCCATCTATGGGGCGCCCGCCGCAGGTAGGAAGGCTGGAGTGAATACACTTCTCAACAAACTTCTCCCGCACAATGTTTTACAACACCAGCATGACATGCAGGATGGCAGATGGTCGTTTCTCTCTCTCCGCATAGGCACTTGACAACTGGATATTCTTAATGTTTACAGGCCTAACTCAGACAATAAAGCATTCTGTGACTTCCTCTTCGACAAAGCAACTTCACAACACCCCAAGTTCCTGTTTCTTGTTGGAGGGGACTTTAACGTGGTACCTTCCCCTCCCAAAGATCGTCGTCGAACCGACGGCTGCCACTCTACTGGAACTCCGCAAGACACACCTTTCGCTGCAATGTTGACAGCCAGTGGGCTGGAAGACGTCTGGAGGTATTACCATCCCTTAGAGGGGGACTACACACAGTTTCTCCAGAATCAATCTTTTTCTTGCTGCTCCCTCCACCCTTCACAAACTTGACTCAGTTTGTATTGCTGATATGATCATCTCAGACTATGCACCGATTGTACTATCCTGTCAGGGCCTGATTTGCTCCACCCCTCCAGTGGTCTGAAGGTTTCCTACTTATCTATTTGCTGATATGGAATTTCACATCGAGATTTAATCTTGGTGGCGTGACTACTCTCTTATAATCTACATCATGTTGATAACCCTGTTTTTAATTTGGGAAACAGCCAAAGTGGTACTCAGGGGCAGGATCTTGGCCTATGCGGTTACCAAAAAGAGATTGGCACGGAACCGATACAAAGCAGCATGCCTAGAGGTCAGACGATCATATCTACTCTTTAAAGATAACCCCACTGAGGCATTTCGTTCTAGATGGGTGCTAGCGAAACAGCAATGTGACCACTAGTTACAGCTTCTTGATAGGCAAATTAGATCTGCTACTGACCTGACCTTCTTTAAATATGGCAACAAGTCGGGTAAGCTACTGGCCAACCTGGTTAAAGGACTTTTCCTCATGTCACACGCCTGTCAGGCCCTGAGGGCATAGTTCACCACGATGCTAAATCGGTATCAACTATATTTCGCGATTATTATCAGCTTCTTTATAGGGCCGATTTCTCTCAACCCACAGAGGGAGACTCCTTCCTCCACTCTGTAGACATGCCCTCTCTGTCTCACAGTGATATTACCATTCAGGAGGTCCAAAATATCATCAATCAATCAGCCAAAGCTAAGGCACCTGGCCCAGATGGCTTATCTAGTGAATTCTATAAAATCCTACTAGAGGATGCCCCCCAAATTCAAACATAGTTATTCAACCACATACTACATACCTCCATTTATCCACCCATCTTTAACCAGGCCTACATCAGACTCCTCCCGAAAAAAGGCAAGGACCCGCTGCTGGCAAGGTCATATAGATCAATCTCCTTGCTCAATCAGGATGCAAAACTTCTCTTCAAACTCATGGCCAATAGACTGGCAAAGATCTTGCCTACCCTTATAGGGACTAATCAATCGGGTTTTGCACATGGCCCCTCAGCGGGCATGAATGTCAGAAAAATTATCCTGGCAATGGAACATGCTAGATTGTCGGGGCCTTCTCCGCACCCTATGGCCCTTTTGTCCTTGGACGCGGAGCATGCTTTTGACAATGTCAACTGGCAATGGCTCCTAAAGGTACTGATGAAGATGGGTTTCACAGGATAATTTCTCCAACTTATTTCTACTATGTATTCAGCCCCATCCACTCAAATGTAAACCTCCACAATGCTTTCTGTCCCATTCATGCTCCAAAAAGGCATACGTCAGGGATCTCCTTTGTCACCACTGCTCTTCAACATTGCACTAGAACCGCTGTCTCGATCTCTCTCCTCCACCAATATCTCCATTTTAATATGTTCGGCAAATTTTCAGGCCTGAAAATTAATATGGACAAAAGCAAACTAATGTATCTTAATGGCAATTGCCCACTGGCCGACTCCCATTGGATTAAACACTACGGTTTGCAGCTTAAAACTAATATATATAACCTATATATCACCTATCTGGGTATTCACATTCCCCCATCAGCCACAAATTTATACTTACTAAATATATCACCAATCTTGCAATCTATAGCTACAGATCTACAGAAATGGAAAGACCTACCACCATCCCTTTTAGTCAGAGGACATCTCATTAGAATGATTTTGCCTAGTTTGTTCGAACACAAAGACATCAAAAATCTCACAAGTACCTTCCTCAAATTTATTTGGAGAGGTAAAAAACACAGCATAGCCACCCACAAATTTTATAAGACCAATTTGCAGCTAGGCATCAACCTACCCAACATCCGTTTATATAACTTGGCATGTCTTTTCCGGCACGTGAGGGACTGGCTTTTCCAAACCTCACACTATTCAAATACTACTCTGGAACAGAAAGCTGTTTCCCCATGGTCCCTATCAGGTGTCATCCACACGCCGTTCCCTTTACTTCCTCCCAAAATTAAACATAACATCCTTTTTAAAGACAAGATCATCTCTCTCTCTCTGCATAGGCACATGACAACTGGATATTCTTAATGTTTACAAGCATAACTCAGACAATAAAGCATACAGGTGAAACTCGAATAATTAGAATATCGTGCAAAAGTAATTGCAGTAAGTGCTGCAAAAGGGGCCCAAACCAAGTACTGAGTACATATGCATGCTTGTACTTTTCAGAGGTCCGATATTGTTCTATGTACAATCCTTGTTTTATTGATTGCATGTAATAATCTACTTTTTTGAGGTTGTGGATTTGGGGTTCTTGGGGTTTTCATGAGCTGTAAGCCATAATCATCACAATTATGACAAATCACGGCTTGAATTATCTTGCTTTGCATGTAATGAGTCTATCTCATATATTAGTTTCACCTTTTAAGTTGCATTAGTGAAATAAATGAACTTTGCACGATATTCTAATTATTCGAGTTTCACCTGTATATACTATATATTCTATCTTCCAATATGTTGTCAAGGCCAATACTGACCCTTTGTCAGGGTACATCAGTCAGCGCCCATGGTACAGCTTCTGCCCGGAACGCTGCACGCATGTGCATATTCGGCGCTATGGTGCTAGTAATGCACATGCGCGAAAACAATGTGCACACACAGTAGCGTGCGCACACATGTCCTTTGCGCCAGGCGGGCTATTTAAAGATGGCTCCTGCATCTGCACTTTGCTGAGAGATCTTCATCTGTGATTCTCTTCCTGATATCCGTTTGACCCAGTTTGATACCTGCCTTGTGACCTCAGCTCGTCTTGTGACCATTCTTCCGCCTCCTGATTTGGTGCCATTCTGCTTGCAAGTGTATGACTCGGTCTGCTCCTGACTTTGCTTCTGTCTTCTGCTTATGTACAACGCTGACCAAACGTTACCGATCTGGCTTGTTCCTGACTACGCTTCAGCTCCTCACACCAGTGTTGTCTGATCTACCACCAGCTACCACTAGCATTCTGTTGTCAGCATCAGCACATCTAGTGTGTCAAGCAGTCATACCAGCCACAGGCACATGTGCCCCTCTCTGTCTGTACAACTTCTGTTCCATCTCCACTGGGGCTCAGACAAGAGCTGCAAGGAAAGCCTTCCTTGTCACTTTAGGCTCACACCAAGGTACGTGACACCCCTACACTTGATCAAATTTTAGACCAATTTCAATTTTGAATGTGGACATTTAAAATATAAATATAAAATATCGGTTAAATTCATAGCAACCTGGTTAAATCAGTACTTGGGCCAGGTAAGTCATAGCAACCAGGGAGGCTTTGTCCTCTGGTGG